ATTTTACAATAAAACAACTGTTTATACCTCTACCCCTGAAACTACTTTTGCAGCTATGTTTTGGACCTACCTACAGCACAACCAGATACACTTTTAGTGCGGCAGGAAACCTTGGGAACAATCTAGAGGGAGGTGTTTAAATGGTAATGAGGGTAACCTAAAGAGCTGCAAAAACCCACAGAGGTGGGAGGGGGGCAGAAGAATGTGGGATGTGGAACAAGGTGCTCTGGGTCTCCTCCACCTGCCTCTGGCAGCCCCATCCCCTTTCATCTGTGAGAAATGCTGGGGGCTCCACAGGGGAGTGGACTGAACAAAGCATTCCATGGGGTTAAGGGCCTGGTTCTGCAGACAGACCCTGGTTTTCTCCTGGTTCTGTCACTGAGTAACTCTGTGAACTCCTCAAATTCCTCATCCATAGACTGGGAATGATAATACTTTTGTTGGGACAATTAGTGGAACAACATACACAGAGTCAGTAGCATAGTGCCTGACACACAGCCAGCTCTCCATAAATGACACCTACTATTATTGGCCACATTCCTAACCCCAAGAGCCACTCTTAGTGTTCTCTCCCCTTCACTTCACCACCAAAAAAGGGGAGAAGGGACATGAAAAAGGTCAGGGACATGAGGACATAGTGGGGCCATGGAGCTGAGGGCGGAGCTTTAGAAAGAGAAGCCGAGGTGAAACATTCTTGTTTCCAAACAATGTGCCTTTGGGGGAGGAGGGCTTTCTTTTCCTCTCTCCTGGACCTTCATTTTATTTGAGGTTGCTTCTCACTCTCGGAACTCTAGCCACAGATACAGCAAAACATCAGAGCTTGGAAGAAAGCCCAGCTCCCAAGTGCTTTTGGGACAAACAAGAACAGGGCAGGACCCAGGCCACTTGACTCTAGGGGAAGAGCCCTCCCATCTCACACATGGACCCGTCCCCTTCTCAGGAAAAAAATTACACTGTAGTTTGGGCGTAACTCTCTTACTTGGAAAAGTAGGAAGGAATTTTTTGAGCATGTCATCTTTGAGGAGACTCTGGGGACCCTGGTAGGGGCAGCTATCATCAGGAAAGAGATTCAACAACTCAGAGATCGAAACCCTGCTCACTTGGCATGGCTACTACACCTGTGCTTTATTTTCTGAAAGCTGCATAGATAAACCAAATATTAAAAAGAACCTCAGGATCTGGCACATAATTGGAGCTCAATAAATATTTGTTAAAAGAATGCATAATTGATGTTGAACACCTGAAAAATAGACATGTGTCAAATTCATATACTGTAACAGTAAATCTAAACCAATATGCAATGTATACAAAGAGATTTTATTAAGTGTTTGTGTTGTTGTTTTGAATAAAAAATTAATTAACTGCCTCATTAAAATACTTTCCAAAAGTGCCTTGTTACCAGTTAAGGTTTCTTTGATGATTCTTGAACTTGCCTGGCTCAACTTGCTATAGGGAACAGATCTTTGGACAGGAGATTTGAATTCACTCCAGAGTCTACTGTTTGTGAGCAAGTCACTTAATTCGGAGCTTGCTTCCTTCTCTGGGCAGTGGGATTGATAACAGCCCCCTTAGCCACCTCACAGGAATACTGTAAAAATCATGAGATGTCAGATGTGAAGGGACGTTCTGAACTACGAAAATGCAGCCCTCACGTAAAGTCTGATTTTAATGACCCTCTTATCTGCTGCTGTGGCTCTCACCACCCCTCCCACCTGCAATCTCCTCCAACTGCCCCCTGAATATCCAAACCTTTCCCTAGTTCAAGGTCCAGCCTCTCAGGAGCTCTCCACCAGACCCTGAACTGGGTCCTTCCTTCCAACTCTGCTTTTGCCCACTGCCCTAAGTGGTTCACAATTGTCATTTAATTATCGCTCACACAGAGAGGCAGAACAGGGGGTGTTTACAGTTCAGGCAGACCTGCAGGGGATCCCAGCCATGGCACTTGCTATTTGAGACCTCTGGCAGGCTACCGAGCATCTCTAAGTCTCATCTACAAGACTGGGATGATAATGATTCTTACTGATTTGCTCTCAGAATCAATGAGATCATTCCCAAAAAGGACTGAGTTCAAGATGGCATACAGTGAGCACTCAAACAATTGTAACTGTTATGACCACTGAATCTTGTTCCTTCACTGCGTCCTGAATTTGTTCTATCTCCTCAACTAGATTTTCATCCTTGAGAGCAGTGACCCTGTTCTATACATTTATTTCATTACTCTCAATCCCCTTCTATTCCAGAAACCCCACTTTCATTCTAGAAAACTGCTGAGTTCATAGCCTTTTCCCCACAAACATTTGTTGAATTGATTAAAAGGAGTTAAGTAGTTTTTCTCTAAGCAGCGCTCAAATCTTCACCTTAGTCATGGCAGCCAGCCTGGCAAAGTCAGTGTGCACAGGGCAAAGTAACCTCTGCTGGCCCTGTTATCACTGAAAATGTGCGCCTCCCAGAGCACACGGCCGGGCTGTTCCCACCGTGGAGCTGCCCTCCCGTGCTGGACGCCCTACATAGTCAACAGCCTAAAAATATTGCAGAGAAACAGATTTCCTGTGGGGACTTCTGCCAAATTCTGGAGCACTCTCTTTTCTCAAGATGCGAACTTGAATCTTATAGGTGCGGGTAGTGTCAAGGGTAACACATGTGTGAACACATAAAATCCCGTACAATAACACGAGGGTCATGTTTTAGGCTGCATTATAGGTAAAACAGTTCTTCTGGTGTTCTGTTAACAAATTTCCTTGGATGTCATAAACCTCACACCATTTTCTACACAGTAATAAGTAATATTATGGATACATGTTGGTGACTTAGAAAACAAACATGATTTAAATATACATTTCAGAAGAGTAATAAACTAAAAAAATGTCCATTTTATAACATTGTCAACAACAAAACTCTCAATTTTATATGCTATCTGTAACTATTCCCAATTGCCCTAGAAATTATGTTTGTGTAATTACTTGCTCTTCCACTGGAGATTGCAAAATAAAATGTTTTTTAGGAACCATATCAAACCTTGCCCACAATGAGCAAAAGATTGAGAAGTAACCCAGGCACATTTTCATCTGTTCAGTCTTTTGTCTCTTAATGTCTAAGTCCTTCTTGCCCAATTTGGAAAGCTTATCCCAACCCTAGTGTTTCACTGATGTTCTCTTATTGTCCTGGACTTGAGCTAGGAAAAATAAAAGCAGAGATTTCTGCCCCTTTGAGAGCGTACATTTTACTGAATTTTGAGCACTAGTATCTTCCCATTCTTCATCCTCCACTCTCTCATAATCAGAATCAACCTACTGTAAAGTGTCCTTCCTACTTTCCAAATACACAACAGAAAGGGGGGGGGGAGGGGAGCCGGCTTCACTGCAGAATACTAAACCAAAGACATGATGTTCTATTTTTATGATAAATGTAAATTTTCTACTACTAATAGACAAATTCTTCATTTCAAATGGATAAATCAAGTGGTACCTAGATACAGAATTCCAACCAATCGAGTTTAGGGAACTGAAAATATAGAATTCCAACTGATTAAGAAACTGGGAAGAGTATAATCCAAGAACATTCTCCTTCTGGGTCATCCCATTTCACTTGACTATTAACCTTTTGGTTTTTAGTTTTCAATAAACAATAAACAGGCGTTGAGAGCAGTGCTGGCCTCAGTAATATTCTCTAATATTCTCTCCCTCAATGGGAGGATCCATGTGCCTTCAATGATCACTTGTGTAAGAAATGCTATGTCCCTCCTATTTTCTATTAATCTCTGTTTGACTTCTTGGTCATTTGCCACCCACACTTTCTCTTCCTCAAAGCAAAGAGAGATCCTGGTGACAGACCACTACATGCATCTGGCTTTCACATTGTTTTAATTTGCAGCAATACACACCTGGGCCTGAGCAGCTATCTGCTTCCTGAAGCCCTGTGAACTCTCCTCAGGGAGATGGCAATTCTGGCCCTTGTTTTTAATCACTCTTGCCCAGACTTTCTCCCCTTCTCTGCTTCCTTGTTGGACAGCATCCGACCTTCCCCCTACTACCAGCAGTGGAGAGGCATCCAGGATGGGCAAGATCATAGCCAAATGCCACCATTTACTCTCCACTATGATTTTATGGGTCCTTCACTCCTAGAGGCAAAATCCTAATTTTGGGCTGATGGTCTTCAGATAACAAACTGCACATGTAAGGTACCAGAAACTACACATAAGAAGAGTAGCAACATTTTTGGGCTACCTATTCATTAATCTTGCAGCTACATTTGTCAGAAGGTCTCAAAGACACTGTTTTTGCTCTGTGTCCCTGAGCTGAGCTAGGAATGAGGACATCGAGAGCAAAGCATGACTAGTCTCTGACCCCAAATGTTGGCATGAAATGAACACAAAGCCAGGAAAACGAGGAGCTGTGCTGTGATAACTGGTACTAACTATCAAGAGGGGGTTAGGCAGACAATCACACTTTTATTTTCCTTACGCTTTTTGACTGTAGATTTAATTTAATTTTGTCATGGCAGGATTAGCAACCAGGCCACAAAGGTGAAGGGACATAATAATAAGACAGCGTATTAATCCTCTATCCCACCCAAGGCAGAGAGGTAAAACCAAACAAATAGCAGCTTCCTGGAAATTGAATTTCTGTTATCCAGATGTCAAAGATGTAATACCCCAATTACACAAACTATTGCCAGTGAAGCGTGCCAGCGAATATGCAATGTAAATGGGGTGAGCACAGAGCGACAAAACTGCACTGTCAGCATCTGGCTCTGGGAGTGAGTGATAATTAGCACTGTGTGTAGACACTAATAAACATTTATGTCTGAAATTACAACTTTTACCAATGTTAATAAGGAATATATTGGCAATCTGTAAAATAAAAGGTCTTGAAAAGAATGTCATACACTAAGCAATGGCAAACATTTCCCTCTCTGGCACAATCTCCTCCCCCGCCACCTTCCCACCTAATTGCAAATGGCCACACTGTTTTACTGAGAAATTAACTGACATAGGAACCTACCTAAAAAAATGGGGTGTGTCTCTTTGGCCTCCCCATTGACATCATTGCTGAATTCTGACAGCTTATATATCTCATGGTGATAATCTGGGATGAGAAAACAACCAAAAATTAGAATTCTAATGACCTGCACTCTATGCATAAGCAATGAAAACTAGTGTCTCGTTATATACAGTATGGATAACCTATACTTTAATTTATAAATGTAATTTTCCATAACTCGATCAATCACAGAATTTGTAGTTACTAATAACCCCTAAAACACTGCTTGCTCTGAAGTACACAAACTTGAAATATTACTTTGACTTTAGAAACAGTTTTGCTTGACCACATGGTTTTCACAGGAAATGTGGCCACAGATGCCAATTATTGGGCTTCTTTTCTTTCAAATGAAAAGGATGTTTATAAGGAAAATAAAACCTTGCCCAATCATAGGCCAAGGGAGGATTCCAAATATATCTCCACAACCTGTTTTCATGAGCATATGAATAATATATGCTTTAGAGTTACCTGGTACTCTCAGTTTACCTAGAAAAAATCCCCTTCTTTAAGCAGCTTGTAGGCAATAACACTGCAAAAATACTGACTTATTATTTCACATATAGTATAATTAGGATAAGCAAGATTCCCATCTTTCACACATGAGTCTTCTGCATTCAGCTACTGTACTTTTAATATGCAATAGTTTATTTTCTAAAAAGCACCTGCAGAGCAGAGAGAAGAATCAGACCTATAATTTAGGGGGAAAAGAAGAAAAACTTGCCATGTCAGTCAAACTTCAAAATACAATATTTTGCAAGCTTCTCTACAGAGGCTACTATGCTTTGGCGATCTGTTTCTAAAAAATAGGATTGCCTAGGTAAGTAAATAGAAGTTCCTTCTTAACAGCTATTCCTTTTTTTTTTTTTTTTGCAGGGGGGTGGTGGAAGGGCTTGGACCTCACCAAACAAGGTCTATAGAAGTATTCTCACTTTTGAGATAAAGTAGTAAGTTCCCTGAGGTCACAAATAAGAAAGCAGCCTACATTCCTGAATGAATCAGATAGACAAACAGGCCCGTCACACAAGGAGAGATTTTTGAACTAAATGACTGAGTAATCAATCAACACTGCTGGGGGGAAAATGTACATAGAAAGAGGAAAGAGCCAAATATTTTGAATTCATAAAATTACTTCAGACCTCTTTCATTAAACAGTGTCAAACTAAAGGAGAGGAAACATAGGAATAGATCTTCAAACTGTCTTTAAGAAAACCATTTTCAGACCAACCAACAGCAGGCTTTATTGACTCTGCATCATATTAGCTTAGCTTAGCATGAAAATATCTATTACTTGCAATTGCCATCTTATTTTCATCAGCTTATATGTGACTTTTCCAGGTTGTTAAGACAACTGCCTTGCTCTCTACTCTGATGTTAAGGCAACCAAGGAAAAATGGACAGGTTCTGTAGTTTGTTTTTGACCTTAAGTTGATTCAAAGGTAAACTCAATATTAGGACTTGTGACACTGCCATGAAAAAAAGTCACCTGTCTCTCATTTAAAGCGACACATGCGTTTCCAGAAACATTTTTCATCTGTTCTTACCTCAAATTCTGACTGTTTTTTTAAAAAGTCAAATCAGGAAAATAAAGACTCCAACAAGTAACTGCACACAAAACGTTCCACTGATGACACCATTCAACTTTCCCCTCCCCTGACAGAATCAACCCGAGCCCAGAGGCTCTGGTGTACACCTGTTAAATCGTCAGGAACTGGCTAGATTTGTTTTTTTATTGATACTTAACTGAACTGGTAAGTGATCTATTCTAAGACACCTCTGCAACCCAAACAACGCATCTAGAAAAGATTTCGGATATCAACAATTCTTGCTTGGGCTTGCACGGTTCATGAGCTTCTTTCTCGTTCTTAAAAGAACCACTACCACTCTTTCCCTTCTCTTTGGGGGGGAAAAATCCCCAAGCCCATAACCATTGGTCGGGATCGGTGTCCGCACGGCCTGATGGAAAGGCAGTTCTCCCCCAGCCCCCAACCTGGCCGCAGGAGTGGAATACCAAAGAGGGCTCTCGGCTCCCCAAGTGTTATTGTTTGCTAATTCCCTTAGTGTCCTCCGACTTGTTTACGCGGAATAACAACCTCCTGCCTCTCTCCCGTACAACTTTGCTCGCCTCCTGGCAAGTGCAGCCGCGGCCCCCAACGGGAGGGAACTCGGGGTCCCGGAGCCTGGAACCGGGCGCGGGCCGCGCGCGGAGCTGTTTACGCGGCGCCACGTCCTTGCCCGCTGCCTGCACGCCCGGCCCGGCGCCGCTTACCTCCGCTCACCAGTTTGAAGCTCTGGGATTTCCTGCTCCTTTTCCTCTCGGAGAACTCCATGGTGCTGTAGGAAGGGCTGCGGCCGGGGGCGGCCGCGGCGGCGGTAGCGGCGGCTCGGGCTCTTGTCACCCGGCAGCGGGAGCGCCGGGACCAAGGTCCGTCTGTGGAATCCGCAGGGGGGAGGCCAAGGGAAGGGAAGAACCACCTCGAACCCTCTCGGGGGCTGCGGCGCGCCGAGCTCGGCAGGAGGCGCTTTCCCGGGAGAAGTTGCCCCCTCCCGTACGCCCCCCGGGTCCCCTCCACAAGCCCCCCGACCCTGGCTCCTTCCCGGCTTCTGGGAAAACCCGGCCGGAGCCGAACTTTCCGTTGGGGAGCGAGTTGGGGGCGGGGAAGGCGGGCCGGGGCGGCGGGCGCCCCGGGATGTCGCCGCCGGCCGGCCTGGGCGCAGCTCGGGACGCGGCGGTGGCGGCGGCGAGCGCGGCCCTGGGGACGCGGCGGTCCGGCAGCGGGCGGGTTGAAGGCGGCGGCGGCAGCGACGGGGTGCGAACCGGGTCGGGGCGCTGACCGCCCCCGCGGGAGGAGGGGCGCCGGGAGGAGGCGGCGCCGCCGGGACCCCGGGGCCACCTGCTGGCGGAGCGCAGCCGCGGCCATCCCCGGGGGCCCGGGCCGCCACCCACTAACCTGGCCGCGCGCGCGCCCGGAGGAAGAGCCGGAGGCCGCAGCGCCCTCCTTTGGCCCGGACGGCCTTCCCCCGGGGGTCCTTAGGTCGGCGCCTCGGGGGTCGAGAAGTGGCGGCGCTGCAGTTCGTTCGCCTCTAGGCACTCCCTGGGGCGGATCTTGTTATAAATAGTCTTGAGTGTCGGGGACCCTCCTGGCCAGCCCCTCCTTGCCTTGAGATCCAGGATGTCCAAGGGCCAGACTCACTGGTTTTAGGCAAGTTTTAGGAAAAACAAATGTCAGAAACTTACCCATCTGCGCTCTTCAAGGAAACGAAGAGATTTTAGAATTTATTGGTGAGATGGGTATAGTAAGAGTGAACTTCAATTCTTCACCCCAATACAAGGAGGGAGGGAGGAAGATCCGGAGTTATATTTAAGGAGAGAACTTGGAATGTGGGACTTGAAGCGGGTGGAAGGGTGAGGGGTGCAACGCCTGGGTGCTTGATTGCTCTGACTCTTGGGGAAGAAGTGGGCAAGGCAGGTGCAGGGGACTCAGCCACTTGATGTAATAGTGCCAAAACCATTGATATAAACAGCACCCCATTTCTTTCTCACAGCATCTTTAAGGCAGGAATGGAAAAGAAATTTACACCACCTAGGAATGGCTGTAAAGCAGAATCTGACATGCTTTAAAGTACCTGGCCAAACCGATCATTTCTAGACCCATTTCTAGAGAGTAAAGAGGTAGACAACACATCCAGCACTGTGGCAAATTCAGGTGGCCCCAAAAGAGTATATAGAAATAAGAGAGGGGTATGTTAATAAAGGTGGTAAGTTCTGCTGTGGGTCTCACTCAAATAAGGACACAGAGCCACTCAGGGTCCACTCTTACTAAACGGGGATATTCAGAGTAGAACAACTGGGGGAAAGAGGGAAGTTGGAGGTAACCAGCATAAACATACACATGCTGGGAAGCAAAACCAAGGAACAAGGTAGCAACCTAGTAGTTGAAGGAGGGCCTGGTACACATCCTGAGGTCTTAGGTATTATGCAGCAAGCAGGAATGCAATTACACCTAGCCAAGGTGAGGGGGAACTGACCATTCCGTTAAATCAAACCCTAAAGTAAGAGGTTCTTAACTTTTTTGGTCACTGTCTCCTTGGATATTATATTCAAAGCTCAGGTCCCTTTCCCCAGAAAGTATGTATAGGACAAACAAAATTTTGTAGATTTCTTGGAGTTCTTAGAACGCTTGGAATTCTAAAAGGGGGCAGAAGGGGTTAAAGTGACCACAGGGATTAAATCAGTTGCCCTATTGGGTTCTCTTCCATTTCCCTGGCCCCCTCCACCTCCGCTTTCTTTCTTTAGAACCAGGCAGTTAAAAACTCAAAGAGGTTTTGAATGTTTCTAAAGAAACATAGGATTTTGTTCCCCAGGCTAGGACCCTTTCCCTTTTCCTTATTCTTTTTGTAATTTTTTAAAAATGTTATTCCAGAAGGCACAAGGTTGAGTACTGTACTGACTGAGGAATATTTAGGATCATTCATGCCTTGGAGCATAAATGAGATTTCATTATGCTTAAGCTGTGATGAAATGATTGAAGGTGCATACCCAGAAGCAAATCCCTAGGGGAGATGTTAACAACTTAGCATTTTCAGTTCAAGTAGGAATATGAATTCCCTTTACTGAAGAAAATATTTTTAATATAGTTAAGAAACTATTTTAAACTACTAATGTTTTTAAGTAATGATCATTTTCCTTGAACCTTTTTTTTTTCTGGCTCTCTAAAGATGGTCTATGAGCCAGCAGGTCTCTAGAGGCCATAGGTCAGGTGTGTCCTATGTTCAATAGAGAAAATCAACAGATGTCTATTCTCTGTATTGTGCATATCACATTACCTTTACATAACAAAAATTATTATATATTTATCATAAGCATTAAGTAAATATTAATTTTGATATTTAATAAAAAGAGATTGCTTTAAGTGGTAGGTATCTTTGTTAGTTGCTTAAAGTTGCTGTAACAAAACACAATAGACTGTGTGGGTTAAACAATAAAAATTTATTTTTTCATAGTTCTGAAGGCTATATGTCTCAGATCAGGCTCTGGCAGTATCAGTTTCTGGTGAGGGCTCCCTGCTTGGCTTGTAGATGGCCACCTCCTGGCATTGTCTTCACATGGCAAAGAGCAAGGAAAAGAGAGTTATGACCTCTTTATTTTATAAAGACACTAGTCCAATTATCAGTGTCCCATCCTCATGATCTCGTCTATACCTAATTCCCTCCCAATGGTCCCATTTCTAACTACCATTGTATTGGCAATCAGGGATTCACAGTGAATTTTGGGTAGACACAATTTAGGCTATATCAGTATTGTTTTTGGTTAATTGAATATAGTTTTTGTGTTGGGGTGTCTTGGGAAATCCTGTAGAAGATATACTAAGGTCATTTCTCTGCCTCTATAGTTCAAAGCCCTTAAAAGTTTTAGAACCGCAAATTGAATACTCATGTGAATATAGATGTCAAATATTCTGTGACCTCATATAAGCCATATTTCTTATCATATGACCATTCTAAAATTCATCTTATTAACATAAAAATTAAATGTAGGTTTTAATCTTGGATGGCGACAGGTAATTTGGCAGAAAGTATTAGGTAATCTTAATCTTAATTCTTAAAACTCTCTTTCTGAAAACTATCTGGAAAGAAACAGTATTATGAAAATTTCTACCTTTATTTAGAGATCGGCTGTCCAGTAGAAATACAATCCAAGTCATATATGGAATTTAAAGTTTTCTATTAGCCACATTTAAAAAGAGTAAATATAAACAGGTTAAATTCATTTTAACAATATATCTTACTTAACCTAGTATATTTAAACTATTACCATTTTGACATGCAATTAATATAAAAATGTTAATGAGATATTTTACATTCTCTTTTTGTTACAGAGGTTTGGAAATGGTATTTTATATTTAGAATATGCATCATTTCAGATTGGCCGTATTTCAAGTGCTCAATAACCACACATGGCTGGTGACGAGCACATTGGACAGCTCAGATCTAGAGGACTTCTATGATTTGAACCATGCTGTGTACATAGCTTTGACTACAGCCAGATTATTGTTTAATTGTTTTTTCAATAACTCTGAAAACAAAGAAGATAAACTGTATGGCGTTATTGGGCTTGAGGCAGTTTTAAATCTTTGATTGGAGTCTCTAGAATTGAAAATCCTGCCACTAAGTAGATTCTAGTATCCTTCAGGAAGAGTTAATAAGTATAAACATTAAAGTTTTATGACAATTGCCCATCATAAGGGTCATGGAAAGAATAGGCAGCACTACTTTAGCCCCAATTTATCAATTTGTTGCTGGCCTAACTCATGTTTCCACTTTCATTTACTTTATGGATTTTAGTGATTGTATTTTAAAAGAAATGAAGTAGTATTTATGAGGATACTTACATGAAAATGAGCTCTTGGAATGCTCCACAAATAATAGTACCATATATTTATATTTATAGTTTGTAATTATATTTATATGGGGCTATTCTTAAAGGAACACAAAGCTATTTATACATTACCTAATACACTTAATTGCTATATGTGTGGTAATTATAATATTCCAAATTTGTACATGGAGAAAATCAGTTTTCAAAAGGTGATTTGCTAGTGAAATTTGAATGGCATGCTGGTTTCTTCACCACCTTAAATATGATGCATTAGAATACCTTTTTGTCCTTTCTTTAACATAAAATTTTAATGTTCTTTTTTATTAAGATCTAACATGTACAGTAAAGAACAGAAATTGTAAGTGTACAGTTCAATCAATTTCTTTTACTTATGTGCATATTCATGTAACCTCTCACCCCCTAAGGAAGGGAACATTTCCAGCAGGCTATCCACCATAGCTTGGTTTTGTCTCTTCTTGAACTTCATACAAATGGAATTTTACGGTATGTACTATTTTGTATCAGGCTTCTTTTGCTCAACATTATGTCTGTAAGACTCATTCATATTGTTAGGTATAGTAGTAGTTCATTTTTTTCCCATTGCTGTCTATTATTTTATTATAGAAATAGACCACAAGCTTTCATTCATTCTTGGAGATATTCTTGTGCATTTTAGTTCATTTCTTTTGGTCGACATAAGCACACTTAATCTTGTGTGTATATTCATGAGTTGAATTTCTGAATTATAGCATATGTATATGTTTAGCTTTAGTAGATAGATATTGTGCAAGAGTTTTCTTAAGTAGTTATGCCAGTTTGCCACCCCCACCCCAAGGCTGGGATTCAGTCCTCTTCAGAGAAGCTGTGGCTACTAGGGGGACACACAGCCTGCTGGTAGCAAAAGACTTTCCAGAAATGGGGTCAGAGTTGGTCTGCAGAAGCAGCAACCAGTGAGGAGGATGTGGCCCAAGGTGCAACTGGGACTCTACCAGGCTGGCCTCTGGGCTCCCACACAGAATAAAGACCAATAAAGACCGTGGAGAGTCAGAACCTGTAAGAGAGGGTCTTCGGTGGGATTCAGCCTTGCAGTGTCCCTCTGGTGCCCTCTGTTGACATAGCCTAACATCCCACCAGCTAGAGTTTACCAATGACAAAGAGGGATGGGTTTGGAGCTGAGAGACAATACACTGGTAACTAAGTTATTTTATTCCCTTATACCTAATGTTCTTTATCTGAAAACTGGGGATCATAACTGTACTCCTCCCATGGGATTATATTAAAAGGTGAATGAATGAATGAATGAGTGAATACTTAGACTGGTGGCTAGCACAGTCAGCTGTGCCAGTTGGCTCTTATTTATTGACTCACACCAGGCCTGTGTCACAAGCTGATATCGACAGAAAATTGAGAGACTGCCTCAGCCCTCATGGAGCTTCATCTTTAACACCTTTAATTAGATGGTCAGATTTGAGATGCTTCCTAGTCTATATTTTAAGGGTTAATACTATATCAAAGCCT